ATTTTTTCGTCATGAAAAGAAATTTTGCTGGGGTCAACACCGGTCAATTGAAATAATTTTTGTAGAACAGTCGGCTCGTCATGACCCAAAATATCAACTTTGAGAAATATTTCCGACAAAAAACTATATTCAAAATGAGTCGTCATTCATTCAGACTGGCGGTTGTCGGCCGGATAATTCAAGGGAGTGTATTTTTGAATGTCCGTGTCTGGCAACGTAATCAAAAGACCGCCTGGATGTTGGCCGGTGGTGCGTTTAATGCCTTTTAGTTCAGCAATAATTTCTTCACGAGGTTTCTCTTTTTCAGCCCGCAATTCTTCCCATATTTTTCTGATTTCCTCGTCCTTTTCAGCAATTCTCTTTTTAATATTCTCGGCTGATTCGATTTTCATACTTTTTTGGTTTTTTAACGGAGATGTTTGACCCCCCTTTGGCAATTTATCCAAATCTCAGCAAGAAGACCCCCCATCCTCTTTTAGGTAGGGGATGAATTGCGTAAGAGAGTAAAATTATAGTATAGTTTTAAGTGTTGAACTAGTTAGTCAGTTGTTTAGCGACTTCTCGGCTAACTAATTGAATATTTAAAAAAATATGAAGTCGCTAATTACCAAAGCCTTTAAACATCGTTTGTATCCTAGCAAAGAGCAAGAACAAGTTTTAAACTGAATTCTTGGTGAATGTTGGCAACTCAATAAAACCCTCTTAAAAGAGAAAATAACTGCTTACAAGAAAAAGGAAAAACAGCCCACTCAATTTGACCAAGTTAATTCTTTAACCAAAATCAAAGAACAAAATCCTAAACTCAAACAAATCTTCTCCCAAATTCTCCAAAATATTCCCAAACAACGAGTTCCTACTATTTGGTTAAACTTTCAAAAGAGGAAAAAAGAAAATCCCAAAGCAGGTTTGCCTCAACCAAAACCCCTCCATCGTTATCGTTCTTTTACTTATCCTCAACATGGCTTTAAAATTGAGAAAGGGCAATTAGTTCTCTCCCGAGGTCGAGGCTATTCTGAACTAAAAATTAATATCCGATTACACACCCAAAAGAAAAATGGTAAAAAAGAGGGTCGGCCATTACCCAAAGAAATTGAAACTTGCTCCCTTTTCTTAAAAAATGGCAAGTGATATGTTTGCTTTACTGGTGAAGTAGAAGTTAAACAATTCCCTAAAACTGGTAAAGAAGTGGGAATAGATATGGGATTGAATGATTTTTGTGCTACTTCCGATGGAGAAAAGTGCGAAATTAAACAATTCTATCGCAAGCAACAAGAGCAGTTAGCCAAACTAACAAAAAAACTAAGTGGAAGCAAGCATAAAAGAAACAAGAAAGACAAAACTAAACCCAGTCAAAGGTTTTTCAAAATCAAATCAAAGTTATCTAGGCTATATGAGAAAATTTCTAACCAAAGAGCCGACTGTTCTACAAAAATTATTTCAATTGACCGGTGTTGACCCCAGCAAAATTTCTTTTCATGACGAAAAAAT